TGTGCGCTCTTAGTCTCATTGCTTTGGCTACCTTAGAGCTGCGTTCCCTGCGCCCACGCGGTAGATAATAGCTTACCTGCGTCAGCCCAGGGGGGTTTGCAGATGGGCATACGTTATGTAAACGTCCCCCCATGTCCATGCGCATGGATGCACCATTCAAAACCAAGAGTTACCGGTCCGAGTCCTCCACAACCTTTAGAACCCCCATAGCACTGGTCGTCCAAACAAAAATGAGGACAAGCCTTTGGTGCAGACGTTGGACCCTGCTATACCACAGCCTTGAGGGCTGCGAATCACGACTAACTTACCCCTCCTTCACCTCACAATCCGTCAATGCAAGACCACAATACAGCCTATACAGCCTACGGTCTGCCTTCGCGTGCCCTCACGGTAAGTCAATGCAGTCAAGGCCACTGGCAGTTGAAGGGAACAATCAGGTGGGCGGAGAAAAGGCCGCATAGGCGGGACTACCGTTGGATCACGGTATGGTCCGTGATCGAGAGGCCATTTCTGAGTCAAGATGGCGATTAGCTCCGATGTCTGGCACGCTGGTCCGAAGAACGGACGCCCACAATTCCGTACGTTCCGTACTTGCTGGCCCGACAAAAGCGACGCTCAACCAGCAGTACCAACTGTCTCTCCTTGTGTCGGCCTTCGGTGTGGAGTTTCTGGTTTGGGGCGGAAGGAGGCTTGGAAGGCAGGCAAGAAGAGAGTCGTCAGAGCGTGGAAAGTACTGCATGCCACGTGGTATCAGAACTTCCGTGTGTGAAAGGGACTATCCCAGATGACTTTCGTTGTTATTGGACAGTCCGGTTATGGGCTGGCAACAAGGAACCGGAATCGATTTCACACGCGCACAGTTTTCGCCCCGTCCCGTCGTTTCATCCCCTCCGTTTTCGCCTCCGGCGTTTGTGGACTCTGGATTTCCCCGCGCCCCCTGTCGGGCACGTGCTAGGGTTTCTGCTTTTGCCCTGCTCTCCATCATCACCATCACCAATCAACCCCATCGTTCGTTTGGTGTGCTGAGAGCCCTCCTTTCCGTTCCTCTCTTCCTCCATCTTGTTCCTGTCTTCCTCTCCCCTTTCCCTCCGCGTGCTTCTTCTCTTTGTGGAACGCATCTCTTCCTCTCTACCCTCCATAGACACAACTGTCCTCTCATTTCCCTCCAAAACCCCGCCGCCCTTGGTAAAGCACCTGCGTACGGGATTCTCTCTCTCTCTCTCTCTCTCTCTCTCTCTCTCTCTCTCTCTCTCTCTCTCTCTCTCTCGCTAGTGCGCATGTGTATAACTCTTATCATCTCTGTGTCCAGGGTTTACCCTCCTCTCTCTCTCACTCTCTCTCCCTCCACCTTCCCCCTCCTCGCCCTTCTCTCTCTCTCTCTCTGCCTGTCGCCTCCCCTTCTGGCGCGTGGCGCGCGCGCTCCCGAGATACCCGGTCGCCTTTCCCGCCCCCCCCGTTCTACTCGCGTTCAGTCTCTCTTACCACCTTTCCTGCCTCGTTGTCTGTCGCTTAGTGACTTGAGGTGTGTGCCGCCCTCCGTATTGCCCTTGTCTCCCCGTTTCCCTTTCGCGTTTTCGCCAAGGCGCTGATGAACGCGTGTGGCGCAAACGCGACCGATCGCCCTGCGCGGATCGGCGACTGATTGTGATCATCGGTCGACGATCATGAGCAGGCTTTCCTTCCGTCCTCGTCCGCTTGATATACAGAAGAAGCTGCCCATCGTTCGATCGATCAAAGAACTCGACAATGAGGAGGGTGGTGTGTCTCGCACTGTCCAACATGCCCACGTGGCCCTCGATGCTGACAACGAGGAGGTTCTTCCCACGTCTAACGCCAGAGGTGGCACCGAGATCCCGACCCCTGCATTCACGGTTGTTTCCTCTTATGAACAAGATTACACTCGCACTTTCAAGCAACCTCCCTCTTATATCCGTAGCAGGCCTGCCCGGTCTGAGGCCAGCAACTACGTCGAGTACGATCTCGATGATGAAGACGAGGACTGGCTGGAGCAATTCAACAACGAGAGAAAGTTGCTCACCCCTGAAACCTTTGAATGGATGCTGTACAAACTGGAGTTGGCTGCTCACAAGCACCAAGAGCGACTGCCCCCCTCCGCGGTCGGTGGCGGGGGGGGGAATCTCCATTCCTCAACCGACCACCTTGTCTCGCTCCCACGCCTCGTGGCGTACGAGGCCCTGAGGACGGGGTCCACGCGGCAGGCCGTGCTTGCGGCCGTCTTCGAGTACTGGAAGGCCAAGAGGGAGCGATGGCGGAAACCCATTCTGCGGAGGCTGCAGCCTCCTCCCCCGGTGACGGACACCAACCCATTCAACGTGTTTCGACCGCGGGAGAAAGTGCAGCGGCCTCACACGAGGAGGAGGAGGGAGAACGACGTCGCTTCTTTTCAGAAGCTGCAGCAGGTCAGAGCCAATATTCAGCAGGCACTGAATCTACTGCAGATGCTGCAGAAGAGGGAGGTGAAGAAACAGGAACTGGTGGAGTGTGAGGTGGCCGTCCAACGGCTGAACGTCAAACAGAAGCACGATCCTCGGGTTGGGGATGAGGACGAAGCGGAGGGGGTGGGGACCGCTACGGTGGGGACGCAATATGGAGGGGCGACGGGTGGGATGGTGAACTCGGTAGCAGGAACAGGCGGCGGGACGATGATGCCCCCCCCCCCTTCGATCTCAAGAAAGATCGTGGGCAGGGGTAGAGGGGTGGGTGAGGGTGCGGCTGTCCTTGCTGGAGCAGCAGCCGGATTAGGTCCGGGGGGCATGCCAGGCATGACAGGGGGGTTCTGCGGCGGGAATGTGGGGGTTTATGCAGGAGGATCTAGGTCTGCTCATCCCGGGATCGGGTTCCGTGCTTTGGAAGACCACTCGGGTGCGTCTCTAGGGGGTGCGGGAGGTGTTATGACGGTCCGGGGTGACAAAGCTTCGCAGCAACAACATCATCATCATCATCAACAGCAGCAACAGTGGGCCGGGTCTTGCTCTGAGTTGATCGGCAGCCATCATCATCATCATCACCTCCATCATCTTCACCAGCAGCAGCATCATTACAACCATCAGCAACGCGTGGACGGCTCAGGGGTTAGTAGCTTATTGAAGACTTCATCATCGTCACCATCAGCAGCAGCCGCAGGAGCAGCACCTGGAGGAGCAATAGGAGTAGGAGTAGGATTGGGGGTTCAGGGTGACCATGGCAAGATTCGAAAGAGGAAGAGAAGGCGACCTCCCCACAGCCGACCGCAGGTAGGAGGGGAAGGGGGCGGTGGCGGGGAGTATGCCAAGAAGTTGACGGCAATGTCGACGCCGATCGATTCGCTTGAACCGGTCCTCCTCTTTTGTAAGCCTCTGGACACTGAGAAGCTGGCGTCTGCCGGCTTCTTACCGCAGCCCAATGCTTCTCCGTCTTGGGCAGGACCGATTCCTCCTGCGACACGCGGCACATGGAGGATGGGCCGAGGAGGAAGGATCATCTTCGATCGGTGGTCGTTGGCAGCCCAGGCTCCTTTCGAAACAAGGGTGGGAGAGTTGCGCGCGGGTACCGTGGCAGGATCTTGTCAAGCTGCCGTGATCTCGACCGGGGGTGGCAGAGAAACGGTAGGAGCCGCAGGGGGGATGGGGGGAATGACGACGATGCCTCCCACCACTTCTGGGGCCCCTCCGCTCCCTCCACCTGACGTCAACGTAAACAAAGTACCGACCACCCTCGTCCACTCCCATCTTCCTCTAGCATCCGTTTCGTCAACCCCGTATTTGCGGGAGTCGATGCATCAGCATCAGGAGCAGCAGCAGCATCAGGTGCGGAGAGCAGTAGGCGGAGGGCAGCAAGGAGCTGCAGCAGCGTCGTCAGGGGCGGGCAGCATGCCGCCCGGACAACCTCCTGTCAGTAAACGAGGGCCCAGTGGGGGGGG